ACACACACACACACACACACACACACACACACACACACACACACACACACACACACACACACACACACACACACACACACACACACCATACACTACAAACGAAACACATACAATGCACACACATGCACGTGCGCAGGGTGACGCGCTTCAACATCAACTGGAACGACGACGAGGAGGAGGAGCAGCCAGGAGCAGAGGGCGCACACGAAGGCGGGGACGATGATGATGACGACGGTGATGACCCGACAAGCTCCCCCATCGCATATTGATCATTTGTCCACGACAAGGGGGGGGGGGGCGTGGAAAGGGGAGGGTTACGTTGGAACGACGTACATACGTACACACACACACACATACACGCACATTTATGCTCCACTCCCCTGCTTGCCTCCTTCTCTCCTTCTCTTTTCTCTCTCTCTCTCTCTCTCGCTCTCTCTCGCTCTCTCTCTGCTCTTTGCGTTCTCTGCTCAACCCCCTCTCCTCTGTCCTTTTGCTCTTTCCTTTTTTTGCTCTTGTTGTTCCCTTCTGTCTATACTTGCTCCTTGGGAATGACGATAAATGGCGAACACTAAACTCAAACATACAAGCACACCCTCACACGCACGCACACGGAGAGAATACAAGCAACACACAGGAACATCACATACACGCCACTACAAGCAGCGGCGTCACTCGTCCTTGGCGTCGTCGGGTGATGCCACCTGCCCCAGCGCGTACACGAGCCTGCTCTGGTTGCTGGTCAGCACCTGCTTCAGCACCATCATCGGCTGCTGCATCACCTGCTCACACACACACACACACACACACACACACACACACACACACACACACACACACACACACACACACACACACACACACACACACACAGTTGGACGGTGAGTGGGGTGCACGAACACATGGCACATAACGGAGCGTCAGGAATATGCAAAAGAACAGCGTGGCTCCCTTGGACCGCGCTCACACCCCAGCCATGCAAACTACTCTCATAACACAGCCAACAACAACAACAACAACTTAAACAACAACAACGTAAACGACAAGAAACATAAACTACAGCAGCAGCAGCAGCAGCAGCAGCAGCAGTGCGCACCGTGAGCAGTTGTCCTCGGAGGGCGTCCAGGCTCGGAATGTCGGCGTATTTGTCTACCTCATTCACACCCAGCACGCGCGCATCCGCAAACGCAGCAACAAGCTCCTGTCAAGGCAGAGGGTGACGGGGCAAGGGGGTGAGTTGCCGCGGAGGTGCATCAACAGCCGGCAGGGGGGCGGAAGGTGAAGCGAGCACACACACACACACACACACACACACACACACATGCACACACACATGCACACACATATGCACACACATATGCACGCGCACGCACTGACCAGCTTTGGGTGCTTTTCGAGCTTCTTGAAGTCGGCAAAAGGCATGTCGTCCTTGGAGAAGACAACGGCGGTGTGGCCCTCAAAGTGGGCAGTGAGCGCATCAGGGAGCCTGGGCACAATCAGGGATTATCGTGAGCTGCTCGTCTTGAGTGTTAACGCATCGACGCCTAAAGCCGGGGGGAAGCGGAACGAGACCGAGAACGAGGTAGGTGCATACACACACAGACACACAAGCACACACACACACACACACACACACACACACACACAAGCACGCATGCACACATACATACACACACACACACAGACACACACAGACACACACAGACACACGCACACAAGCACGCACGCACGAGCACACACGCAGACACACACACGCACACAGAGCACACGCACCCCTTAATCTCCAAGTACTTGCGGGTGACACCGTTGGGGATGATGGTAATTCCGAGGTTCTGTTGGCGCAGGTCATATCGGAGCTGTGCCCATTCCTCTGCCACAACATCGGAAAGCCACCCAAACATAGCAACTGCGAATGAGCGCTGTGTGACGCAGGTTGTAAAACAGCCACACGTGCACAACAGGAGGTCCACCGCCTGCGCTCCTGCGCAATGAAACACACCTGCGTTAAGGGCGGCGTGGCGAACAATGCCTGCAAACGTCGAATTGACGATGGCCTCATCAATGCGCTTCGTCAAAAAGACCTTTCTTGGGTTGAGCGGCCGACCCGACGCCGTGAGCATGGTGCGGTCGTTGTCATTGTCTGCGTCGCTTGCAGGTAAAGCCTTGAGCAGTGCAACGAAGCGAGGGAAACGAGGGTTCAAATCAACACGAGCAGTTGGGAGAAGGAGGGGGGACGACATGGGGGGGGGGGGCACCGCAGTTCAGCAGGATGAAAGCATCAACGGCGAGCAAAACAGCAGGTACGGATGGATTGATTACCTGTGCACTGAAGAACCGGGAGTGACAGCTGCACGGGAAAACCGACGACGGAGCGTGTGTGTGGCGTGTGGTCGCGACTGTTGTTGATGCTGCAAGTGACACCATCGTCCTTACACTGCTGCGTGCCTGCCGTGGTGCCACTGCCAACGATGTCAACGATGACAACACGCGCTGTCCCGCCTGCCTTCCCACCACCCCCATCCTCAACCAACCAGCCACAATCATAGTCGTTCGCCAACCAAACACGAGTGTCGAAGGCGACAGCACAAAATGCAGTCATTACAGAGGTCGGTTGCTTCAACGAGATGCCAAACAATAAGAACGCCCCGTGCAGTTGCACCAAGAACCACCATTGATTGCGTCGAGGTGTGCCACTCAGTTTAAGATTTCGTCATTGCCACAACAAGAACCAGCGCGCCATATTTTTCCCCGCCACAAATCCAAAAACCGTTGCCGTTTGGCAGCAAGCGAGTAAGACAGCATGTCCAGATATGTGCATTCCACCACTGCCACCCACAACCCCTTCTCACACACAGTCACACTGACGCCTTTGTCTTCATCTTCGTGTACCAACACAGCATCATGGACAGCAACACCCCTGACAGCCACCTGAACAGCGACTTCTGGGACCCTGAACCCGACCCAATTGATCAGCATGATGATGGCCACAGCGGCGGGATGATGCAGCCCACAGAACCCGCGGTGTCTGAGACGGATGTGCTCCTTGATCACGCAGCTTCGCCCTCACCCTCATTGACAGCAGCCTCCGACCAGCCGACAGATCTTGGCGAGGTTGTGAGGAGCTCGAGGGCAAGCGGAGTGTGACCACTCAGACCCAGCGGCTGCCGTTTCCTGCCACCACTTTCGCAAGCTGC